TAAATAAAATGTATGAGGTAATTCAACCTTTTGGGAAAACGGCATTTATAGTCTACATATTATTGCCTGACACCTACTCTCTTTATGCCCATTAAGACTTGTTTTCCAAATTCGAGAAAACAAGTCTTCATGTAGGATCACTGGTCTCTCTTATCCTACACACAATAAACAAGAACTATTATATGTAGCTACAATAGAGCACAATAAATGAATGTAAATGCGATTTATATATGCACACTTCTGGAACAAGTCCAGGGGTGAGCCTCTGTGTTTGAACTAAAATGGCCCACGCCTTCCACATTAAAAAAGTAAAGACAAAGGAAATATTAATAGCTTCACTTTGAAGCTTTACTCTAGCTTCATTAAGAATGCATTTGGTTAAATAGAGCACTGAATTTCACTTTTATGTGTAATAACAGCTTTTTCATGTGGCTAAACAAGGTTTTTTAAACTCATATTGTCCCTGCCCACCATGTGTAAAGAAAAATGTTCATCATCATTTTACAATTTACAATTTTGTTGAAGGAGAGCACTGAATTCCACTCTTGTGTAATATCACTTCCTGCATTATGCTGTTGCACCAGTAAGGCTTCATGAGCTTCAAGCAGTCATGACTTTACGTCTGTGCACAAAGGACGATAGTGAACACAGGTGCTCTTGATTCCCCTTCTTTATATCCTCAGACGTCTTGTGTGGCTTACCAAGGAGTTTGAACAACTGAATTATTGGAGGACACAGACCAAAAAACTCATCTAAATTCCACTTCTCTTTAGAGTTGCTAGGAGAGTCCCCCCCTACAAAACACACACACAGACACACACTAGCTTCATGCTCAAGTCCACTTGCTGACCTCTCAGGCCAGACACTCTCTACCCAAACCCCCCCTCCCAAAAAAAAATCCCCTCCCAATCCTCAACCCCTCCTTGAACCTCTACAACACCCACCTCCCCCCCTCCCATACTGAAGACCTTTCCTTCCCACACTCAAGTTCCTGTCAAGGCCCTGACAGACAGACAGACAAGTAGGGTGACATCATGGTGCAGCGAGAGAGAGACAGAGGAAGGGGGCTGCCTGCCTGTCTGCCCTCAGCACCCACACAATACAGCAGGGCATCTGGCACTGGGGTGGTGGTGGGGGACTGGGTGGGGGTCTGGCAGGACAAAGCGTTTACATCCCCCTCCCTGGAATATGATTATAGTTTGTAAATGGTGGCTGAGATGTAAACGTGTGAGGAGAAGAAAGGGGTTGAGATGCGGTGGTGGGAGGGTGGGTGAACAACACAGTTATGGTTTTAACAGTGATGACACCAACAGATATATTAGTCCTAACATAGGAGGGGGACTTTGGGATGCTCTCATGTCTATATGGAAAGTATGCTCCAGTATTTGCGACAAACTCACATTAAAAGAACTGCAAAATGTAAAAGTAAACATTTCTGGTTATGCAGTTTTTGTTAGATTTCTTCACAAAAAATCCCAAGAAATGATATTGAAACTTTTTGAAACGAGCAGGTTCATCAGTCATTTCTATGTATGTGTGTGAGTGTGTGTTTGTGTGTGTGAGTGTTTTGTCACTCACATCTTATTAATTTGCAGGACGAAACAATAGTGTCAACGGTGTCATAATTCTCTCCCTGCAGCGACCCCCTCCTCTGTCTCTGTCTGAGAGGCTGTCTACTCGCTGTGTGCATACAAGTGTCTGTGTGCATACATAAAATAAATGAGCTGTGCGTATGCATTGTGCGAGTCCACAGGCCCAGTGTATATATTAGAAATGTGACTTGACCCTGGCAGGCTGAAGCAGGGTTTCTGCGTCGCACTGGGCGTGGGAAAAAGGGGAGACCTCTTTTCACAGCTGCTTTGGCCGTTGCATTGAACCAATGGAGGCCCCCACCAACCCCAACCTGCCTCCGCCGCTAATGCCCCCCTCCCTCCCTCCATTGGTCCCCATTTCCCATTCACTCCGCAGCCTGCTGCCTTTCAGTGGACCCCCGTCCCCCCCTCCTGCGCTCTGTTCGTCACCCGGCTGCACCCCACCATCACAGCCACCACCAACCCTTTTTTTGCAGCCACCTCGCCTTTCAGCCAGTGAGCATTGAGATGCCAGAGGGCTTTAAGGAGGAAAAGATAAATATTGCATCTAAGTGACTTATGAGATAATGTGAGTAGACCCAATGCAGAATAAGTCAAAAATATATGTGCTAATGAATGTTTGTACTGACAAAGCTCAACATCAAAATCAGATCTTATTTCTCACTCTTTTTCTTCACATCATGAGATCATTAGTTTCTTCTTTAAACTCTTTTTTTGTTCTTCAAATCCTATTTTTCTCACATTCTCTTTTCTATATCCTTCTCTGAGCACTTCTGCGATAGACTTTAATTTATGTTAACATACGCCACCACTCTACTCTCAGTGCCTGCCCCCCACACATTCCCCATCCAGTGTATTCATTTGAAGAGATTTATTTCCTATCAAGCTGCATAATGCAGAGGGTATAATTCAAATCAACTTTTAAGAACAGCCAAGCAGCGCAGTTTATGTATACAACATCTTGAAAGCCTAGTAAGAAGAAATTATAATTCCCAGCAAACAGCAGGGTGTTAAAAGCAGATTGGCAACTTTAAGAAGCCATGGGTGGGCAGTGGGTGTTTGGTTTTGCCATTAAAGATAACCTATTACTGATAAACCTCACAATCACCCTGTTTAAACACATAATGCAGGCTTCATTTGTTTCAGATACTCTTACTAATCTGACTGTATAACCATGGAACGGCAGGCTCAGAGTGGAATCATTAAACAAACACACCCACAAGCAATTTTAGAGAAACTTTAAAAGGTCACATAATGTGCAGAATAACTCCAGCAGATTCTCAGGAGCAGTCCTATCGTGCTGTCGAGCTACCCCGCTGATACGCCAGGCGTGTTGAGGAAATGTTGAGAAGCAGCGAGGGGGCAGCGACGGGGGAGGAGGGAGGGAGGTTGTAGCCGAGAACCTGAAAGGACTCCATCTCCCTTGGCCAACATGCCATGACGGTGTGGAGCAGCCGTCTGAATTGGTTTCTCTGGGGTGGTGGAGCTGGAGAGGTGATGGCAAGATGAGTCCGAAAGGGGATGGAAAGGGGTGGGGGGGTCATGGGGGAGGAGATACGGTACACTGAGGTGTGTTTGTGTGTTAGAGAGAGAGAGAGAGAGAGAGAGAGAGAGACTGGAATCTGAGGTACTGTAAATGAGCGGGTTACTGGCTACCTCTCTTCAAGTCTTTCCATATACATGAGAGTGCTCGGCTGTGGAAGCAACACTTCTATGTGAGAAATCACACATCCTGCACTTCCTATATGAACTATTGTAAAAAAGAAATGCACATATCTTACATGGGTCCTGTAAGGGTAAAATGATGCTTGAATGCAGACCTGTGCGGGCTAGCTCTAAATTGCTGTTATGAATACAAAGAGGATGTGAGGAGTGTCACTTCTGGATTGATGTGTCTCTGCGTCAGATTTAGCCTGTAGCTACGCCTTCACTTCTGAAGCCCACGTCTAACCGAAGCTTGTTTGCATCGATTTATCTAGTTTGTGGATATGATATTGACTAAGTAGACCGGCAGCCCTTATCGAGTTGGAGCAAAGCGAAGGAGGTTTAAGAGGTGGTCGAACGCTATGGAGAAGGATAGCCACAGGCTGTGAAATCCTCTCTGATCTTCCCTTGTCTGATTCTCAAACGCAACTCTTTCTCTGGGGGNNNGGGGGGGGGGGCATGCTGATATAGAAATAGGCCAATGTCACAGAACGCTCATCTAACCCTGGAGGGAAATTAAATCACTTCTTCTGTTTCTCCCCAATGACGGACCTCAATCTCTGCGGATGAGGCTTCATCTCCCTCTGCTTCCCTATTCAACGCTCCCTCCATCACACCGGGTACTTTGTTCTCCGCAGGAGGTTGAACATGCACGAGCTGAGCATCATTCTCGGCCTTGATGGCCTGCTACAGCAGCTGTTAGAATAGCAAAGGTAATCTTTAGTCGTGTCACTCAACACTGAGAGGGAAGCGGAAAGTGAGTGAGTCACCTAGTTCTGGTTTCAGCCGTTTATCATATTAAACATTATGCGCTGTTATAAAACACACAGTTTGGACGTTTGGACAACTAGTTAGCAGAGCTATGGCAACTGGGGCCTTACTTCTATTTTCATACTTTACAATCACTTGTTTTTTTATGTAATAGTGCAAACAGTCAAAGATCTGCTGCATAAAAACTATTTTAAAAACCACTTTCCCTCATAATAATCATGAATTATACCAAAAAACAAAATGATATGGCTAATTCATATTTAAATTGAAAAACTTAAACAAAACAGTTTGAATGTGTTCCATGCTCACAGAAAACTGCAGCAAAATGTACACGGATATTAAAGTGCATCTTGAAACTATTTAGCAAACTTAAAACAGAGAAAGAGAGTTTTTGTTATCCCTCTAAGTGTGGAAGAGAGTACAAGGCCTGGACACAGAGCGGTGGAGAGGAAAGTAAGTACTTGGGAGGGGGGGGGTGTTCAGAGGGAGGAATTAGAGAAGTAAGGGACTTAGCCACCCTGGCAGTCTTTCCACATGAGTACACCTTGCGCACACATCAGGCCAAGGCCCCCCATTCCTACCCATGTATCCTTAAAGGGATAAAAAGCATGGACAAAGGAATTAAAATATAGATTACACAAGAGGCCACCCTGCGTCTTATCTGCCAAAACCGAAGAATCTAACAAATTGGATCAGACGTTATAAAGCAGGGGGCGAGAGGCCGGCCAGTGAAAGGGTGAGGAAAGCACACAAGAAAGTGAACATGTAAAGAATTAGAGGATCAATCTTTTGTGGGGAGATAATTAATAAAAACATAAGGACTTTGTAATGTATTGTGTGACTTTTTAAGATTGACTGTAATGATGTAAAAGTACTGTACTGAATATTTCAAGTTCAAGTGTGTTTGTAGTGTGAGGTGCTTCACTGTCTCACCTGTAACTGAGAGATGAAGTCTTGTTGTGACCTGCGACCTCTGACCTCAGAGCAGGAAGGGGTGGTGTCTCTTCTGACCTTCAGGTTCAGACGCAGGCTTTCAGATGGGGAGTGTGTATATCTGTGTGACTGCACTCCTCTGAGTCCTGCAAAAAACATAAAGCATTAGGTTAAGAGAGGGTCTATTTCTGCAGCAGGTCACATGTCTTTCATTTCTAATACACTGTGTTCTTGATACTTAATGAATATCACTCTAAAAACATTTCGGCCACAATTGAAATACTTTATACGCATACATTGAGTTATGCTCAATTTTTAAATCTACTTCTATCTTTAAATTGTAGTATTATTCGTACTTAAGTCATACCCCATATTCTGCCGACAGTTAAATAAGAAAAGAAAAAGCCAGGAAAAAAATATTTATTATACAAATTCTAGTTTACTTACTCATATTATGCAGAGTAATAGATTGTTAAAACTACAAAACATACATTAAAAAAAGTATACATGACACTGGAAAAAGAAAACAGGAAATGCCAAACAGATAAGTCTAACGTAACCAATTAAGATAATTAAATTCCAACATAAAGACAGTGTAAATTGTAAAGAAAAGTGCAGCAGTGTTATGTTGGTGGACTTCTGTGTGGAAAGTTTCTTATATTTCCTTCTTCAACTGTCAGCAGTAAATGCATGACAATAGCAATCTCCATGTGCGTACACACACACACACACACACACACACACACACACACACACACACACACACACACACACACACACACACACACACACACAAAGTAACAAACAAACTTCACAAGCGATTACAAAAAAATACTCAAAGATTACATCCGCTGAAACCTGATGTCCTTTGCGGGTTTAAAGCCTCCACGTCAGCCTTTCAATTTTTTTCTCTTTGCCTTGCACGGGTCAGAGGCTGTTGCTAGGCTACCAAACCCAGAATTCATAAGTTCAGAGGAAAGGTTTTTATAGGCCATTTCAATTCAAGGTAAAATGATAATAGAAAATTGATAACGCTGTAATATATGGACTTTGGTGATATGGAATCAAATAGCCCATGCGCCATAAATAGTTTCAGATCTGAATCAAAGTGTAATGTTTGTGATAATAATAATAATAATATTGCTATTAATAATAATAACAACAATCATTATTATTATTATTATAATACCAGTCAAGTGTATACAGTTTGAATAATAAATGTAAAACATATTTTTTGAAGTAAAATGTAACACTCAAATAAATAAAACCAAATGAAAATGCATTTAAGGACGTATTGTTTTTCAAATTTAAATACGTAATTTAGAGAAGCAGATTTTACTAAAATACACACATACTCAATCACAGTCCTGCAGTCGGTTGAAAATCAAAAGGGATTTCACCTTATTTAAAAAGACAAATTCTATATTTGACAATATATCAAATCAGGCGCAGTAGGAGCCCGCTTGAACACATGTAAAGAAGCACATCCAAAGAAGCACATGTGCAACTGTACAAAAACATGTGCACAAACTCATACACACACGCATACACACACACATAAACACAGCTCTGCAATCTAGTTGCCAGGTGTGACACACACAATATAACATCTATAGGATGGGGGCTTGGAAATGCACCGAGCTGTAAACCTAAAACAATGGCTCAGCTGCGCATTGGACAGAGTACAGGCAGGCTGCTTTGTTCCCACATTTCTGTCACAAACAACACTCACCCCTATGCAACAACCAAAACCAGGACATGAAAATATTCAACGTTATCAATACAGTGCAGAGAAAGAGAAGAGAAGGGAAAAGAGAGAAGGGGGGGCACCCTGACATATCTACGCTTCAGCAGGAAAGGCTACAGACATGACAGGTTGGTTAGAAATGCACGGCATGCATGCATAAACACTCTCTGCTCTTCTCACCTCATTCTTCTACAACATTTTCAACGCTATTCTCTCCAGCCATGACCTTTTTTTATTTTATCTATTTATTTTTTTAATTCCTCCTTTGTTAAAGCACACATAAATCCAGGCTGGTGAAATAATGAAATTACTGATAGACGTTTAAATCACTGTGCAAGACAATGGGGAGTGCAATGCAGCCTTATGGCAGGTGTTGGTGGGCTAGACGTAGACTAGACTGGGCTCCATCTGGTGTGGAGGGCCTCCTCCTGATGGTGGAGAGGGCCCAGACAGACACATATTAATGTGGGAAAACCAACGTCTAGCCTGCCTCTCAGACTGCATTTCAATCTCAAAGGGCCCTCCCCATCTCCTCCATTTATTACCCCTCAGCAATGCATTAATTTATACTGCAACTGGGCCAAAGCTGGGAGGGTGGAGCTGTTGGCGTGGCGGTTGGTGTAAGTTATAGCACAAAACGCCATTGTCAAATCAAATGGAACCATGCCGTATTATTAATGCTTTTGCTGAATATTGCAATTAACCCTCAAAAGGACAAAGGGGAAACGCATTTGCAAAATATATGGCAAATTCTGAACAAGGATATCCTTAAATCAGGTCTCTGCTGCACCAGAATTACTGCCGTTCACAGGCCATATGGGTAACTGAGACTATACAACTGTTAATTTTGTGTATTAGGGTCTCAATGGGACATGATAATTTACTGGTTCCTGTCACATTCAAATTGAGACACGGGTATCCTGACACTCCTGCAGTGTTTCCTTGATGAAAACATTAATTTGCAATGCCCTATTAATATCATAATTACAACAGGAAACAAATTAAGTTTGTAGCTTATTGTTACACATCACTCACAACATTGGGATATATTCAGTGTGGATTAACACATACAGCAGTATAGCATGTTGCCACAAAAGCCAGAGAAAGCATTTCCTTGTTCGGTTCATGCTAGCTCCTTCTCCACCTGCGCTGCTCTGTGACGCAGTAAGCTGGGGCCTAAGAAACACCATGCTCTGTGCTGCTACACACTCACAAATTCTCCACCATGCAGAGCACTGCCACCACGCAGATCAGCTCTGTAGCTGTTAGCAGCTAACACAGGATTGGCTTGTTTAAAATTCAACAGGCTCCACTTCAGAGTGCAACCTATCACTCAGGCAGTGCTGGAACCAGACAGGAGCTCCTCTCTGACTCGGATGGAGTGAGGAAAGAAAAAAGAGGATGTGCAGCCCAAACAGCATTTTAAAACAGAAAGACCTTGTCATCCTCTAACACTTCCTCCAAAATCCCTGCTTGGCATGCTACTGTACTTCAGCAATCAAAATATATAAATTGGTGATATGTGTTAGTGTGTGTGTTAACATAGTACAATTCCCTGATCAGGTACGGATATTGTTGATGAGAGTGAATACATGTCAGCATCTAATTTGTAACCTACAAAATGTTATTTTCATCCTGTGGGAATAAACTATATCTACAAAAAACTTTTTATCAGCAATTGTAGCCAAGCTAGCAATGCATTTCTTTAAAAAAAAGTGTACATTATGTTGCTCTGACATCCCGCAGGCCTCTTCCTTAGCAATGTGACACATTGTTCTCTGGTTTTGTGCATGAGACCTGAAAATTGCTGTTAATAAGCGCATCAATCAAGCTAAGTCCTGGGATATAAGATGATCCCGTTGACAAACCTGAATCCCAATATTGTCCTCCTCTCCACCTCATAACCTGTGACACATTACTTTGATGACCTACTCATTCTCCTGATCTTTGCTGTACCTGCTGTAAAGCACCACACATACTAAGCTCAGGGAATGCACCTGATAGAGGGATTATTTCTCCTGGCATCCATCAGTGGCACAGTAAATGCATCATAGCCTACAATCCTCTCTGGCATGTCGCAGTAAAGCTCCCCACATCAACTTTTTGGAGACAAATTAAACATGAATTTGCAGAGGCACAGCAGCTTGCTAACACAAACAAGTGCATTAGTGCTGATTGTTAAAACTATTTTTCCATGATACTACAAAGCTAGTCCAGCATGCAGCAATGAGATATGGGGGCTACTGGTGGAACACGTGACTCCCAGGATTCATCCAATCAGGTGCTTTCCCAGCTACAAACCGTGTTCATCTCCCCTCCTGGCTATCAGCATCCAACTAACTACACAAAAACACATCTAAAACATGCTAGTTTAACTGCTATTTTGTGACTAAATGTGTGTTCCGGTAAGAGCAACAGCAAAAGCACCACTGCCGAATCGCCTTCCTCCTCCTCCTCATCCTCACTCTATGAATGGAGCATGTCTCCGGTTGCTAACTACTGTCACTCCATGCATCCCCCGCGAGAGAAATAAAAACGACAATAATCCGTTTGTGTATGGCTTCGTTCTCCTCCGCACCGCTTCACGTCCAGGGAAGCAGGAGGCGTTTCTCGGTGCAATGCACGGACGCTGCCGCGGGCTTCCAGTCTCTTCGTGAGGGCTGCATCCATCCATCCGCTCCGCCAGCAGCCCCCCCGCCATTGGTCCCGGTTCCGTCGTGATGAATGCAGAATTAGTTTGTACATTCGGTTCTCTAGCTTTATGATATTACATAACTCATACAGCTAGATAACCAAAGAGAAAAACTAACCCACGTCTCTTAAAGGAACCGCCGCCGCCGGAGCTGCTTGTGTTGTGGTCACATGGAGCCATTGCAACCCGCCTGTATGCCTCTCTCTCCCCCCTTCTCCCTCTTCTGCTGCTCTCCCGGTCGCTCTGTCTCTCTATCTCTAACACACACATTACTGCGCGCATGCACAAACAGGTTATAGGTACCCGGTTTTATTATTACGCGTAATGTTAGATTTGATTAAAAACGATGTCCCAGACTGCTTTGGGATAGCAAAGACTATGACCATAACCTACATCACCATCAGTTGTATAATTTTCAACAAACGTAAATCCTTCTCATGGTTACACTACAATCTTAGATACTAATTTCCATTATTTAAAACCATAGGTGATCTTCATCCACTACAAACCTGGAAAGCATCTGCAGGGTGAAGTCATGCAACTGCAGGAGGAGGGTGACATATTTTCCTGTCATCCATGAACATGCGTAACAGGAAAGGCTTCATGCCACTAATAACCTCAATATAGCGTACATTTTCCCACTAACTATACCATAGCATGTCCAGTTTGAGCTTTTGGGGATTATACACTCATACACCTCTTAGGAGACAGTGTTACTTCAACTGTCTCCATAAAATATCACACTATGGCCCTCACAAACAACCTTATTGTTGTTTTAAATGCCAGCTCACATCGACCCATTTCAGAGCATAGACCATCGTTTCCGCGTTGAGTGGATTAATCCACGAATTGTTAGAAAGCATGACAAACTATAAAGACATACAGTAGGCCTATATAGCTTACAGTAGAGGGGGATCCAGCTAAATGTCAACATGAACAAGTCCAGGCTGACTGAAAGTCACTGTACTATGGATTAGTTCATTACATGTTACATCTTGACAAACTTGCCTTTATTATTTTGCAATCACCAAATAATGCTCTATAAATATGCATCTTTAAAACAGCTCTACTGCTAAGCGTTTAAAATCAAAATTTAAATTCAGAAAAATACACATCGTATATAATAATGGTCAAACGAGAGGATAAAATACTTTTTCCACAAGTCTTAAGTTTAAACTACACTTTCCCTTCATTAAAACATGTTTTGAATGTTACTGAAGCTGTCTATCTGAAAAAGCATACCTTGCATTTAGAATAACCACAGCATACTCACATATTCAGTCTATTTGAAACGGCAGTTTCGTCAATCGGACAGTCATGATGCTTCGTTATTAAATAATTTTAAAAATGATTTGAAAAATTCACAAGCGGCCGATATATTCTTCAACACTCGATCCGGGACGGGAGCATATCTCCCCGGCTCTGTTCAGCCGTAATGCTCCCTATTTGGCCATGTGGGATGCCGGCACATGCGAGAAAACAAAGCACATTTTACGCACAGCACCACCATCGGTGTATGAATATGAATCCTCATAGGAAGAATTGGGTAGTAACATCCATTCTTAGCCGTCAAAAACACTGCAGCATGGCCCGAGGAAGGGGAAATGAGAGTGAGGAGAGAACGCCTCGGCTATCGAAGTGTCAGAAGAGGGGCGCAGGAGGCGGAGGGCCGCCCGGGGGGCCCGGGGTCAGACTGCCAGGGGAGACGCGCGGTGTCCACAGAATTAGGCATGCTCATTGGCACACACTTGGGTGAGCAACAGAGCTATGGGGTGGACGTAAACGACAAGGGGAGTAAGCATAAGGTAGAAATTGGATAGTCTAGTTTCACTAAAACGCGTTGACATCATGCTACAGGCTCCAGAATACTAATAAAGGTATTCACTATTGTTAGCAGAGATTATAATTGGATCTCGATATGGGGTCCTAGAAGCCCTCCAAAAAGAAATTGAGTGGGCCTCAAGAGCATCCCAAAAAAGTGAGGAATAATTTAAAATATGATCCAATACATCCACTTAGAGAATGCATGGTGAATTCACAACCAAACGTGTGCAGTACACGCAGTAGCCATTTTCAAATTATCGAGACAACATTCATATATTGTCCTGAATAAAATATACAGAGTTCAACACTTGCAAAGTCACCTGACAGGCTTTGGGCAATACATGGCAAAAGTGGCCATGTTTAAGGTGTGGGCAATGTAGGCTATACCATCCGTCTCACAGCCTGTCTGTGTAAATAAGGACACCACGTTTGTTCCCATAAAAGAAACACTGAGCCAGCAGTGAGTCATAAGTACTGAGCAACCTGCAGGTTACAGGACAGAGCACTACAATGCTAAAGAATGACAGTTTGAATTACAATTTAATTTAAATTTGAAATTATAATACAAATCACCATCATTTTAGACGCCACTTTTATGTTTCAATGAGCAATTTCAGCTAGTCTGATGAACCATATGCAAATAGCTGAAGCATTCCTCTCACTATCCATTTGGAACACATCCCAGACTTTGCTGCTATATTTCTAATGGGACTCCATGTGTTAGCGTATAGCCTTTGCCCTTTACCATTCTCAATGTAATAAAAACATATATTCAAAATTATGAATTTATTTAGAAACGTCAAGGGCACACAGTTCACTTCTAAATGCTATATAATGATAATTGTATATATTTTAATGGTAATTGCAGTCTTTGATGTTTGTGTTTGACCTGTGTTTTAATTTGAATATTAATAAGACAGTTTTCTTTAGGCCTGCTCCTATGCGAAATATTTCAGGAAAGATACAGGGACATTTTGGGAAATTATCATGGATTCTTCAAGCTGCATGTTTTCTTCACTTATTTGGTAAATATTTTTCATATTTTCGAAAAAACAACAACATTCTCATTAATCATTATTTGGTAATTAATTTTGGTAAGTAATATTTAAGAATTTTTTAAGAAGAATTTATTTATTTTTTATTATCTCAACTTCCATTTAAACAGCCTGACAATAACTTTGTAGGTATTAACCATTTTTGGTTTTGTACAAAACACGGGTTGGATTAAGTGGAAATAATAATTATTCGAAACATATATGTTTAAATTAAGTGAATAATTAAAAATATGAGATCATTCTAAAGACCAAAAGTTAAAGAGTTTGTGTGTGTGTGTGTGTGTGTGTGTGTGTGTGTGTGTGTGTGTGTGTGTGTGTGTGTGTGTGTGTGTGTGTGTGTGTACTACTTTGCTCTGCCTTGATTTTACTGTACATTAGCCTGATTGACTCTCCGCTCCGCCTTTCATCAGCCTCACGTGAATTCATGTGCACACGCCCCCTGACTGCGTCACTTCCGGTCACAGGCTAGGCCCACGGCACAGTGCAGTGACGACGAGCTCAACATTCCATTCTATTAAATTATAATATATTCCGTTCTATTGTATCCCATTATTTTCCATTACATTCTATTCCATTCCATTCTATTCCATTGTATTCTATTGCAGTCTATGCACATCTTGCTTGCCCAGATTTGTATTAGAAAAAAAAAAAAAATGTAACGTCGTTGTGTGTAAAAGAAAGGATATATTTTTATTTCGATTTTTGTTTCTGCCCTGAGCACAACCTCAAAATTAAATCTGAAAGAAGAAAAAAAAGATGCAAAGCAGTGTCTCAAATATGTTCGGTAAAAAAGGCTTGAATTAAAATGTTTTAGGGCGTTGTATTAAAGAAAACTATAGAGTGGAGTTCAGCACCTCTAAGTTAAAAATACAGTCTCTGTCCTTGGTGCTGAAACGAATGTAATAAATTCACGGCGCTGTTTAAAAATGGAAGGGTGAAAAGAAAAACACTTAAACAATTTGAGTCTGTTCAGGCAAGGTTAAACCTATTTGGTGTTTAATGAAATGTAAGAAAATGTATTTAGAAATTAAAGTTACCTTATTAAAACGTATAATAATGGTCATATTCTGATGCGAGTCACACCTTAGCATTCAACTGAACAGTTCGTGTACATTGATACATTTCCGTTTTAGCTCTTTTTAAATGAAATAATTAAATAAATGAGACCAAGAAGTATCGTCTAAATCTGCTAATCATAAGAAATCAAATCTATTTTTTATTTAATTTTAGACCAGAAGAGTACACTCGATTTGAAATAAAATATTATATCTAAATATTATACTTTTTTTGGGCGAATTTTATGTCTGATGATATAAGTTGGAATGTTAATATAAGATGCTTAAATATATTATTGATCTTCATAGGCAAACTGTGTGTACTGTCTTATCATTTCAATTAAATCTCGTTTATTAGAATGAATATTGCACGACTGTTACATTTTTTATTTGGCCAGTGAAATTATGTGTTCAAAATGATATATATATAGGGGGCTAATAGCTTAGTTCTGTCAATTCAGTGTACAATAGGCCTTCACCTGTTGCACTGTAAAGAAAGAAAGAAAGAAAGAAAGAAAGAGTGACATTTAATATTTTTTTTAATGTTATATTAATTTGATGGATTTATTTTGCCTATAGGTTTAAAGACTACTTAAACATCTTAAGATAAAAAAGAATACCATTATTTACCTGATTGAAACCTGATATTAAGTAAATATCAGGTATTTTAACTTGAATTATTATGACTTAACCATTCATTTTGCTTTGCTAGTTTTGTGGGAAGAAATACCTCTTCCCTTGAAAATATCAACCCTGTAAAAAAATCCTACGTTTTTTTTCTTACTCTCTTTAAAGGGGTTTGACGTACTAAACTTTAACACTACACATTAAACACCTGAAACCGAATAAAAATGTGTGTTCCAAGAATATAATGCCTCTCTATTGTACTCAACTGCAAAGGCCTGATTCATAAATTTCACACTGTAGCTCCGGAGAAGATTTTCCCACAAACAAGTGACCCAAAAAAAAAAAAAAGAAAGAAAGAAGAAGAAGAAGAAAACGCCCAAAAGAAAGAAAGAAAAAAAGTCAACATCAAGTTCAACAACGTGCTGGTGCTCATTAGCATCACAATGCTGTCTGGGAGCACACAAGTCTTCTTAACAAGAGGCTCTGGCGTCAAGTCCCTCCACCTCCCAGCCAAGGGGACATTTTCCCAGGCTCTGCTAACAATCACACAACTGTTTGCTTTATAAACGCCAGCTCAGGGGCCACTCAGCCCCCTCATCACCGCTCAATGGAGGCTCCCGCTAATATGGGATGGAGCAGCCTGCTGCCACTCACCACTCCAGGCTGCACTATTTATCAAAGTGCAGTTTACGGTTTTATCATAATGTCAATGAAATGTCATATTGTTAAACATTATTTTGGGTTATTATTGACATATTTCGATAATTATAATTTAACATTGGTATAATATTTGGTCACTTGCCAATCATCCACATATCTCATAGCCTCAAGGTTAAACATCCACACATAAAACATTCAGAAATCATACTCACAAGGCACGAACTTTGAATAAATCCCGCAACTCCGGTTCAAGTCCATTCTGTATTTTTGACGCAAGTTTCTATCACCTCTCAGCTGTAACCAAACCATAAGAGCCAGGATTCCAGAGAAACTCAAACGCTGCATTCAATGTAAACCTTCAGAAAGGATTTTGTTATTTAAACACTGGCATTACTTTTAATTCAGTAACCAGACACCAACCGAGGCCGAGGCGATACTGCTGCCAGCATCCTCTCCGCATCCCAACATCTCCTCACAGCCTCGGATGACAGTGTGCGCGGAGCTGCTGCGTCGCAGGTCCCCTCCTCTCTCTCTCTCTCTCTCTCTCTCTCTCTCTCTCTCTCTCTCTCTCTCTCTCTCTCTCTCTCTCTCTCTCACACACACACACACACACACACACACACACACACACACACACACACACACACACACACACACACACACAAACTGCTATGGACGACGTGCAGAGAAACTCAAACGCATTTTGCACCGCTTATGCATTGACCATTGTGAACTGGTGTCCATTGTTCTGTTTGAATGACGGGTCTCCCTCTTCAGTGGCACCCGGCATGGTTTTGGAAGCATTTGATAGGCGTGCTGAGCGACGTGCAGCTCGCGGCTGCAGCGTCTGTGGCAGCACGTCGGTGCATGAAGGGGGGGAGACACCACTGAGGACTTTTAGCAGACTGATACGACAGAACCTAATTTTTGATTGTATGGGGGTAGGCAGGAATGCATGAAAAAGGTTTTACATCGATGCCACGTGATGTAAAAGCAGATCACATCAGCTCAGTAGAGGGTGTGATCCCAAATGTATAGAAGTACCTCCACTTTTTTTTATCATCAGCACACTCCATTCTCGCCCTGTCCCCGAGCTGCACATCCTGAAGGCACCGGACAGAGTCCGTTTTTGGCAAGAGAAGCAGGCAATGATCTCCAAACCTGCACCTTGCTTGACTGAAACACCTGAGTCAACAGCTTACAGGAATACCGAGCCAATACGAGCCTTAACCCAGTAGAAACGACTGGTTTAAACGGAGTGATGTCCTTACGTTTCTTGGCAGGCTGCAGGAAAAATGCGTAAAAGAGAAACGATTTGCCAGAGATGGGCACGATCAAAGCGCAGCAGCAGCGGAGTGTGTGGTGCTGTTGCCGCAGCAGCGCCAGGAGAAGCAGATGCTTTCCCGGACTCCTGCGGGTCACGTTGCTTTTACGTGGAGCGACGTTTCCTTCCTTTCTGTGCGTAAGGGAGCGCCTGGTGGACATTCATGTGCCACATGCTAATCATAAGCAGGGTTAGTGAATTAAGCCAGTTAAACTAACAGTTAGACTCAACACTGCGTGCAACAAATCTAGCCCTTGAAATTAACGTAATTTTTACGCGATGACGTCAGTGTCATGGATATGTTATTCCAAAGGTTATCCAATGTGCCTGTGTGAGGGGTCCACGGTGGAGGATCGTTTGTGGGGTCTTAACAAGGCTGATTTGTGTTATAGGTCTACTTTACTGTCTATGGCATGGTGGCATTTATAGGCATAGCCTATCTGTAATGCATTATATTTAAGGAGAAATAAATTTAAAAAACGTATTGGCAATAAATTAAATGAAAAAATGCTTGAGTATTTTTTGTAATCGCTTGTGAAATGTGTGTGCGTGTGCGTGTGTGTATGTGTGTGTGTGTGTGTGTGTGTGTGTGTGTGTGTGTGTGTGTGTGTGTGTGTGTGTGTGTGTGTGTGTGTGTCTCTCTCTAGCATCTTTAGCAGAAGTCATAATTGTATGGAAACTATAGAACATTACAAAACGTTAGAATTATTTCCATTACACGCGTAACCCAAAAAACCTTTTTTGGTGCATAAATTATTGTAAAATATTAGCATATAGGACGCGTTTTTAGCTCAACGTTACGAAGACAAAATGTTGGACCACATTCACAAACAAGGGTTGTGGGTAGTGCAGCAGCATGTTCATATTCACATAATTAATTACGACATTAAATTAAGCTTAAGGTATATTTTGATACATGTGTTTTTATATTGGCTACCTACATTGGCTTTTTTTTCTGTTCTATCGTATTTTCTATAAGTTAAAAAGGTGTAGTTAGCTAGACAGATAAATGGCCAACCAGCTTTGAGCCCTTTAAATAAAGGCAATTGTATCCTATTTCATGCACTCATGTAAGGATTTATTTTTTGTACAACCTAACTGGACGGTATGTCTCATAAGGCCTGCACAATTCAAACATTCAGCATAGGGAGGTTGAGTGAGCTGGGCTGACAAAACGTTCCTGAAGCACTGTACACATCTCATCATGGGAATTAACAACCAGATATTCAGAGTCCTCTAGAATCTTCACATCTCAGAAACTATAGACAATACTCATAATCCAACATGTCAGTGAATATCGAGTCAATATGAGCTAAACAGGGACATCTATTGGCTGAAAGCAGTACTGCAGCTCGGGCCTGGTCAGGTCTGACTGGCCTAAATCCACAACACGTTAAAACATTTAAAAAAACGAGAAACGATTTTAGCAACGATATAATTACAACATATCATCTAAATTGATGCAGTAAAAATATGTGAGACATCTCTACATTGGCAGACAGAGTGATATTTTATTTGATGCAGGAAGTGAAAGGCCTTTTCGAAATGTGTCCACAAAAAAAAAATCTAAATAAATAAAAAATCTAAAACGAAAATAAGTGGAATGTTGGGCGTGTAAAGATAATTATTTATTCGTTATTAAGGCCCCAAAATACGTGAATATTAACGAATAATGACCCAGTGGGTCCACGTGATGGTGCAGAAGAACAAACGAAATACAAATGGAAACCTTAGCTCGAAAATGTGATTCTCGTTTAACAAACGACCTGGAAACGTACATTTATTCAACAGTGTGTGATCTAGTTAACATTTTGGTTAACACAATAGGCCATCACCTCTTTCAGAACTGTAAAGTCATATTTAAAATGAATATTAATTAAAGAGATGGTAAATTATGAAAACAAAGCTTCGGAGGTCTTGTTCTGTTTGAGTTTTAGTGTATAGAGTATTTTGTTTACATTGCTCTAGCAGGTGATAGATTTATATTTATTTAAGTAATGGCACAAAATGAAGGACTTTATAAAATGCTCTAAAACAATAAGGGTTTACACAGATTTCAATTACATTTTAAAAAGGGAATTATGTCGTTGTGATTTTAGATCTTTTAAATCATCAATATTATCATAAATACATCTTGTTATTTGAGTTACTGAAAATAAATGCGAATTATTATCCTAATAGGCTGTTATCTGGGTTTCAGTCTTTTAATTCAGCCTATTATTCTTCTGGAAATGTCTGGAATTAATTGGCTTAATACATAAATAGGTATTGTTTTTAATATTGTATTTAGGCTGAAATGTAAGCGAAACAGAAAAAATCATTTGGGCAGCAACAGACATACATGTGCTTACATGACTTCAGAGGACTGTTATACAAAGAAGGCACGAATACAATGTTCTGTATAAATTACATAATTTTTTTAAAATGTCATTTTCAATGTTTAAGTATTATATTTGAGTCTTTAGAGTCAGTAAAACGAGCAGGCAAATACACGGAGCCAAACGATCAAAGCGAAATTCAGCGCAAATAGGCACTTAGTGAATGAAGCACATTGATGTTCATTAACTTCTGAATTACCTTTATATTTCTGCCCTTTGATTTTCGCTTTTTATTTGTATAAAGCTATAGTGAAATAGTTTTCTCCCCATTTCATTTTTTAAATAAAGATGTATTTAATAAATGAATGCCCATATATTTATTCAGTAAGCAGGTCTCTCTTATGTTTGGTGTATTTATTGGCATTTTCATTACAGAAATGTAATAAAATGAAAAAATAAAGATATATATTCTTAAGTAATTAACTTCTTAAAATAATTATCATTTGCTGAGAACACTTTCAAGATTTTATTTTCAAGCACATAATCCAGTATAGCCTGTCAGTATTGAAATAAATGAATTGATACTGTCACATTTTACACACACATTCAGAACACTTCAGGCAGAAAAAATCAAATCCTAATTCTCCCAGTTCAAACATGTCTCCATCATAAATTCATTAATTTCTGTCAAACTTGTATGACTGTCATGTGACCATGCGTGACCACACCGAGCCCTTTTGGGTTCACTTGTTAATAACCGGCCAATTCAAGTGGCCACTTCTGGGAATTGTAATGGCCGCTCTTCAAAGAGGCTTGACCTGACACAGGGACATAAAGGAGTCAGAGGTCACACATGAAGACCAACAGGGAGCAAGTGTTTGTCCTTCCCAATGTCATGCCCATCAATTAGCAACTAGCTGCTGATTGTAATACATTATTATTTTTGTTATGAGGCTGTTGTGGTGGTGGTATTACAAAGGATTTTAATCAAATCTAAGAAGTGAACACTAGAAATGGTGTGCTTTTTAGGTCAATTCAACATGTGTATTATTCTGCTATTGACTTTTAACATGTATAAAGGAAATCCTTGTGACAACTAACATTAAAAGCGTATATTTGTCAGTAATACCACTTCGAAATGCATATTGAGAGCAGCAACAGCGGGTGTCTCAAAGTCTCTGAGCTCTCTTAAATCTATTCTGAATTCCTCTGTGGTTTAATGGAGCAACATTATATAGATCTGTTTATATGTTTATAAGAATGTAAAGCCCTATTGGTTTTCTATATTCAAAGAGTGCTGCCTCATCAGACAAAGCAGCATGATGGGAGCATTTTTCATTACAAACAAAAATGAATTCCTTATGCTAGGCAGGGTATAAAATTGGCAACAAATGCATTGTTTGCAAATGATATAATACCTCAATAGTCACTGCAAATCCAATTCCCACAAAAGATAATAGGAGATTGTAAGATTTCACAAGCAGGTGAGTAAGGTAGATCTGTCAGTAAGAAGCACTTAAGAGACTCGGCTTACATGACCACACACAGCAGGTCTACTGTAGATTCACGCAGCAGCAGTGATCAATAGGCATAATGCAAAGACTTTCAGGAGAACAGTTACCTATAAGAAATCAAGTAGACCTGGAATTAAACCTCCACACTCGTAAAAAGACATCAAAGGTGCAGCGTGTCTTACACATTCGGGCAGACAGGCTGAAGCCAGAGAAAAACTGTCATGTGAACACCATCATTCCCACAGCAACAAGCCTCACTTTCATGAACAGAAAGCTGATGAAAATGATAAAAATACTATAAAAATATACTAAATGTAGAGTAATTCCAGCATAATTTTCAAACGCAATTATAACTTTGA